TATTACCTCCTGATGAAACTCGCGGCTTACTGGACGTGGAGAGGTTGGTCTCCGATGTGGTCGCTTTCGAAGCGGGAGCGGTTTCGGAGTTCTCACCAACTACCACGGTGCAAGCTTTGGAATTCTGATATGACCAGCTTAACAGACTCGAAGCTGGAAATCGAATCGTTGCAGAAATGTTAGAACTTTCCAATATTTCAAATAATTGTAATTTCTAAGTAGCCATTTTGCATAAGTTCGTCAGAAAGAAACAAAACGGAATTCAGGAATCGTAATTAAAATTTTGAGACAGCAAATGGGAGTATGTCATGTATCAAAGTCATACATACATGTATATAAAAGATTCGAATGAAGGAAAAATATACAAAATGTTCTGAAAATATTCTATGAAGATTCTTCATATAAAATCATTGCCTATAGGGTAAATAATAATTAAAAAGTATAAAATAATTTTCAGTTAGATGAATCTAGCTTTACAGTTTTACTCGCAGAAAATAATCACGTTAATGTTCAATTGTTAATAACTTAATAATCCTGTGTTGATTGAATAAATGAAGAATGAAAGAAGCAAATGTTTAAAGAAACGGAAGGACATGTTATTCTTAAAATATTTTTAGAACACTTTGTATACTTGTATGATTTGAAGAAACTGTTTCATTTCAGAAACAAATGATGAGTTTGTAAAATTTTACCTGAAATATACGAAAGGGCTGCAGTGAGAACAACGGAAAGCACTATAAACACTATAGCGGTACATTTCCAAGAGCATTTCGAGGCGATTCCTTTCTGGAAATGAAATCGACTCGCTGGCGGGAAATGACTGGAATTAGGGCGGCGTAAATTGTTTCGGACGGGTAAGACAGGCACAGCTGTGCCGTATGCGAGGCCGCATCTGTCGGAATTTTTCATTTCTTTCGAAGGACTACTACAGGACGAGTTCGACTTATAGTCCAGTGTTGACGGTGCCTTCGAGTGATCTACGAAAAACATGTACCGTTTAATACTTATTCGACTGCCAAATGCAAACTGATTGGGGTGTGAGATACTTTGAATTATTTAGCGTTAATTCAATGTTAAAGAATTGTTTTTTGAATGAATTTTACCCAGTACAGACAACTTTAAATTACAATATCTACAGTCGTATATATTAAAATAACATAAAATTTGAATAAAATAAATAGGACCATGTTATTTTGTTTTCATCTGTATGAGACTCGTTGTTTATTTTCTGAAGAACGTCGCCTTTTACGAAGTAAAACAATCCCTTATTATTTCCTCAAAACCTTAATTTTCATAGTAAACTATTTTATTTTTGAAGTGAAAATTCTATATAGCCGGGGTATTACTATTTTTTCTGTCACGAAAACTCGTTACTGCCGTGAAAGAAAGGCTGGCGGCGGCAGAAAAAGTGCAACGGGAGTCCATTAGAGTCCCGGTGGCGTGTGCTGTGCTCAGCTGTTGTTTTCTTATCTCTAAGATGTGTGCTGAGACACAGTAGAAGTGAAATTTCAACTGACAAGTGGGAAAATGAATCGCAACAAAATTTTTACTTCAAGTTTTACGGGCAGATTGTTAATGTACTTGTCTAATTTGAAAACCGGACAAAATCTTTACTTGAAGTTTTACGGGCAGGTTTTCAAATTGGACAAGTACATTAACAATCTACCCGTAAAACATGAAGTAAAAATTTTGTTGCGATTTGTTTTTCCACTTGTCCGTTTCCATTCGTTTTTTCACTTTCCGTTGAAGTTTTATTATTACTATGTGTCCCAGAATACATTTGATTTTTTGCTTAAAGTAACGTTAGAAATACAAAAAATAAAATGTGTCCTCCATGTCGCATTCGTTATGTCGTACTTTGTAATGGTTCCGAAGAGAATGGAGATTTATCGGTAATTTTGAAAATTGGTCGCTCGCCTAACGTATTGTTGGACATATACAAAGGCCGTTCGTAGATGCTTTAGAAGCAATAGAAAGTTAGTGTGTACTCGTGCAATTTTGTACGTACTACTGGGAATGTAAACATTTCCTGAGGGTGTTCGAACCAAGCACGATGGCTCGAACTCTTCGCTGGGAGCGGACGGTTGTGCAACTGCTAGACGTCCATTCAATCGGTTCATTGTCGGATTGCGTGGTGGAACATCGGGTGGTCGAGACGCACTATCCAACAAACAACCTGGAAAAGAATAACATTTTCCATTGAAATTAATTTACTTTTCCTTTGTTTCCTTTTTAACGAAAAGGGAAACTGTTTTATGAATCGGATGATTATAAAGCATTCAGTTCTCTTTTAAGGAAGTTTGTCTAATAATTAAAGGGATCTCTAATACAGGGTGGCGCATAAAAATGCATGGAGCTTGTGTTTTTTTAACTGCATTTTCTAAGACTCTTTTTAGGAGATATTGTGGCTATTTTATTTCGGTTCGGAAAATGTTCTTTTAGGAGGTCCACTGTGGCTCGGGTGATGCTAGCCACATATTATGGTTATTCGATAGCTATGGCAACAAAAAATTATTAAGTATTGTCCTATAGTGCTCTCCATTAACTATCTGAGCAACATCTTCTTCATTTTCAAAAAAATAAGGTCCAATTATTCGTTTAACTGCTATGGTACATCAAACTGCTATGCGAGGTTGATGCAGAACTCTGGTGATTTCTTTTGGGCTCTCGCTGCTTAAAAAACAATTCAAGTTTTATAGGAGTATTCCAGGCGAATTAAACTATCTCTAGGATGAAGGGCTTGAACTAACTGGATTTTGTACGGAAAGAGATTCAGACCTGTTTTTAGAATTCAATATAGGGAACGACGGGAGATTTTTAATTGAGCAGAACGACATTTCTTCGATGTTTGGGATTGATCTGCAACACTTTCAATATTTGCAATTGAGCGACCACTACGAGGCCTTCTTGGGTGTCTGAGATCTCCAACCGTTTCCCTTTCTTCCAAACCGTTTTGGTTATAGTGCGCCTAGTCGGGGCTTCGTAAAAACTAAAATCCTTTATCCGCACGTTTTAAAAAATAAAGTAACTAGTAAGTAAAAATGTCATAATTTTTCAAAAATAAGTGCCGTATTATGCGCTACCCTGTATTTCCTTTTCTACGATGCTGCTCAAATTCTATAATAACTGTTTGTTACTATTTATGTAACGTATATTAATGTCAGTCTTCTATTTATATATTTCATCCCTACATTCCTAAATCGTTTTAGCATTTTTGTCATTTATTAGTTTCAAAAGCTTTCTCTAGATCTACACGCTCTTTTTTGTTTTCTTCTATCGTTTAGATTATTCGGGTATTTCATGTATGGTACCAATATTAATACGTACTCATATTCCATAAAAGTAGTTGTTAAAGTTATATTATGCTAAGGTAATGTATCATGAGTATATCATGGAAATTAATACGTTGACTTTTCTACGTTACGTTTGGGAATATTTCGACTTGACTAGTTTGTAGCCAAAGTACGAATTTCATTTATATTACAACAGGGAAACGTGTACGTAATGAAATCGGTTACCGTCGTCTTATGCCCGGTTAATATGTTGCTTGTCATAACGACTTTCAATCATAAACTTCCTTGGAAAATCATTGGAGAGGTTGTGTAATTTACGGGTACTTAATGATGCCGCTAATTTTAAACGAGCAAGAACTTACGGACGTAAAGACGAAATTAATGAAAAGTTTGCTCATAAAGTTAAAACTTTGTATAGTTTCACCTTGAAAGTACACGAAACACGAACGAAAACTTTATATACACATAATTGTTAAGAATAAGTGAATTTCAAAAGTATTAAGTACGTTGGGCAGAAATAGATTTATGATATTTTACAATATGAATCGATAACCAAAGAATATTTCGTCTGTTGATGACTATTAGTTCCATGCTATCTACGGGTAATAATATTATTCATGTAGTAACAGAGTCTTGCTGAGATATGTACCTATATGTAGCATCTTTCGAAATTAAAGTACCTAATCGGATTTTTAAAACTAACACAAAAATACTGACAAGCAAGGGAAGAAAAAGTAGGGAAAGAGCGAATATAGAGAAAGGAGACGAAAAATTAGAAGAAGTGGCTTATATTTGGTATCTAGGAAGTCAGATAACTCAGGATGGAAGAAGCAATATAGATATCAAACAGAGGATAGCGCAGAGTCGAGTTACTTTCTATGTTCGCGAATGCTTAATTTGGAAATTTGAAAAAGACTATTAAATGTCTGGAGTGCAGCAATATATGGGTGCGAAACATGGACGATGGGCGCAGCGGGAAAGAAAAGGTTAGAAGCGTTCGAAATGTAGTGTTACAGACGAATGATGAGAATATTGTGGATAGAGGGTGGAATTGAAGAGATGTTAGAAAAAATAGGAGAGCAGAGGAAATTCATGGAAAATGGAAGCTAATAATAAATAGGCTAAATAGGTTGGAAAGACACCTTCTCAGGCTTACATTAGAAGCAGAAATTAATTGGAAGGAATTAATTGCTGTTTACGAATAGTTAAGGATGTGAGAAATTCGAAAATTAGTTCAGGATAGGAAAGAGTGGAGGTACGTGTCCAACCAGTCTTTGGACTGACGACTTTAAGATGATGAATCGGATTTTTGAAGTAGTTTGGATTTGGGGGTTGCTGAGCACTGTAATTTTTGTAACATTTTTTTTCTCTTTGCAACCGCCTGGCGCCCTCAATTTTTGCTGTTTTGGTTATTTGCCCGTCTGACCCCCACCCCCTTTTTGATCAGGTCCTATGTATGTTTGGAGAACGACCCTCTATAGATATTAAATTTGTATTTAGCACGCGAATTTAACGGTATGGGAAATAATCCTCTACACGTGTTTTATTAATAATTTGTTGTCTTTTACCTATAGATTTTAAATACATAGTTAGTACTAAAAGACTATACTGCAATCTGCACATATTTTCAGTGTTGAATATTCTCTTTCTTCTATTAGAATTTTGAGGAATAGGACGGTTTAACTTTGAATTGCATTTAGGATCTTCAATATGCTTATGATGCAATTTTAAGTTGACCTCGTAGATAAAACAACAAAGCCATGTAGATGCTAATGCGGAACTTTTATAACTGAGGATGTGTTTCCCTGTTGCCTTTTTGCACCACCGGCGACGGGAAATGCGGCTTTATTTATCGCCGTTTTCACATATAATATTTAGGGAAAGACATTGCACTGTTTTCGCGGCGAACAATCGTTCTAAACGTATCGCGTGGTCTTTGACGTAGTTTTCCATAATTTATTCTCGGCAAAGGGGGAAAGTACCTACCGAACGGAAGGATGCGAATGTCGCAAAACAGACATGATAAATATAGCCTGCTCGATAACAGAGGGAAGCACACATGCATATTTATTAAGCTGTCGACGTAATCGTAAGTCGCGTTTCGCTACACGCAATTAGTGCGTTTTTTTCCTCAATTGTAAATGATGTTTTAATGACAAAAGCAAGAAGGTCTTTAAGGTCAAACCTTTCATCAATTCAGTTGTCATTGTCGATCTTGCTTTCTGATTTATTAATAAGGTAGTTCTGAGTCCACTTGTGAACTGTAAAATCAGCAATTGAAAATAATTTATAAAATGGACTAATTTACACCTTAACAATATTAGTGCACATTATATTTAATAAGATACTTCTAAAAAGACTTTAATGCTTACTAAATACTTTGATTTAATCAGTAGGTACACTCATTTCGGTTAAGGTGTGCATTACTTTTTTTAATCAGTTTTTCGTACTCATTTAAACTCATCGCACCCGTAGGATGATAGTTACTTGTACTGAATCAGCTCCAGATGATTTCTTTCTTAAAACATTAGTACAACTTTTGTCTAAAGCTTTTTTCGAATTAGTTAGATTTAATCAAGATATTGTATTTCGGATATTTGATTCTTCTTAATTTTTCATATATACCTACAGACTTCAAAATTAAGAGAAAATCAACTTGAAAGATATTTTTGATTACAAAATTTTCTTCTTCATCCTTTACCCAGACATACCTATGCATTACCAATAAAAATGACTTGACCTGAGAAGAATTCATTTGACATAAACATTTTTCCCTGACCTGACTAAGTCACACCTTTGATTATCTTGAAGTAGTATTTTAACGTTTTGATTTTGAGATTATTTTGAAATGACCTTGAATACTTATCACAACATGGTATATATGAATTTTACAGGAATTTAGAATCTGGAGTCAGAAATAGGGCTTTCTATTAAAAAAAAAAACCGACACCACCTTGAAATTCGACGTCAAGCTAAATTTAAGGTTTTGATCTTCACATCACGGACTGAATAGGTCGATGAGGTCGGCCACGGGTCATCTATTAATTATACGGGCTACTCACGTGATAGCCGTAATTCGTTCAAAATTACTGGCCAGAGGCTTTTAAGAAGAAACGCATTTTAACTGGAGCAGCGCGCATATTTATCGCATAGGTTACTGTATGTGCTCCCGTCTGGGTTTTAAATAATTGACGAACAACCCACGGAATAATAACCGATCACAGGAATGCGTTATTAGAATTTTAAGTATTTATTAGTCGTGCCGAAGTTTGGTTGCCGTCGAATGTTTAATTATTTCGTCTCTTGAGAAAATTTTAATTATTGGAATCCGAACTACGGCGCCAATCTTAATAATGATTTCGAGAAGGTCTCCGCTTTTATTAAAGCCATTGTTCAGTTTTGTGCGAGAAGTTGAACGAATGACAATTTGGCTGAAATTTTTAATAAAGCGTCTTGTGCCCTCAAAAAAACCGGTCGCCAACATTTTCATTCGTCTTTCATTTGCCCGGCAAAGGAATAAGAAATGAAATTTAAAATGTGCAAATTGAGCATAGGCCCTGCTTGGCCTCTCTTGTTTAAGCAGGGCACAATAAATTCAAAATTCAACCTCATTATGATAACAATCACGCACTCTTTTAATGACCTGGATTAAAAGGTATTTAACAGATGAACTGGAAAGCATATTAAAGTTTCCTTCGACCCACTCGTAGGTATATTTATCTCATTCTTCTCATTCCTATTATCGTTTAAAATTTTTGAGAGATAAAATTGACTGACGGTAACTTCCTTTACACACGAAAATTATTGAGAGTGGAAAATACAAACAAAAGATTTTAATGTAAAAATTTAACAATTATTTTATTTACAAGAGGAAAGTGGCCGA